GTAATGGACTGAGACATCCCATTCAAGGTGTATCCTGTTTCATGTCCAGTGCTTCCCAGGATAGGCTCCGTGCCACTGAGACCCTGAATCGGATAAGCAGTTATTGAAAGTGATGAGATGTGAATATAGACATATGGGCAGAACAGAGCACAACAACAGGATAATAATATACCTTTATTCTATAAGTAGCCTATTTTAGCCCCCTAAGTCCTAGATAATTTCCTATTTTTATTTATAATTTCTGTTTTCGTCACCTGCATGTCATAACCTGCATTTGTCTACTTTTGCCTGACTTTGATTTTTAATCAAATCATTTTCATTTCATGTGCTGCTTCTACGGTGTTTCCTACTCCTCCCAATTTGGTTTGTATCATCTACAAACCTGACTGGTTTACTAACTAAACCAGGATCTAGATCATTAATACAAATTAAGAAGAGCAGTGGTCTTAATACAGATCCCTGGGACACTCCACTAATTACTGTACATCAATCCAATTGGAATATTCACCTAATCTTAATGAGAAACCTTCTGCAAATATAAAGGCATCATATCATGTGTCAATACTGCTGTTGCTTGTTAAAAGATCTCTTGTTCAAAGAAGTTGTCTACGAAAGATATATTTTCTAAATACAAGTTGACTGTTCTCTAGTAACTGATTTTATATGAATGATTCTCTGGTTTAGTTCTAATAATTATGTCATTTAATTTTAATAAGCCTTATAAGTAATGGTCTACAATTATTTGGCTTGGTTTTCTCACCTTTCTTATGGATAGGCACTACTAAATACATTAGCAATTCTCCAGGCCATGGGATCATGTGACCTGCACTGTTGTCAACCTTGAGTATGTATTCAAGACATGTTAAATGTTTGAAATCTTCCTTTCATGTTTTTAGTCAAGATGATCAATGGCATTGACCAGCTACGTAAGTGATATTGCTTCTTACCGCAGTATGCGACCACTTCTGCTCTTCTTTAATCTTTAATTACCTTCGTAGTTCCAAAACGCACATGAGCTACAGTGTTCATGCACTGGTTATATAATTGTAAAGTGAGAGAAATCACCAATCTGTGATTCTCTAACACCGCTGTGGTCCCTCAGCTAAGGAATCATTCTCAGGCACCATTCAAGCTTCTGCTTGGGCGGCTACACTGGTCCAGCCCTCTCCTCTCAAGCTGGGAAGAGGGATGTTCTCTGTGTCCTAGCTTAACTCAGACAAAGCCCTGCATTTGCGTCAGTGTGTTCGGCCATTGTTCTGTGTCGTAAACTGGAACCACTGCTCTGCTTTTTTTTTTTTCCTGTATCAGCAGATCAGACTCTCCCACGTTCGTGTGATCACAGAAACACCACACAAAAGGCCAGGCTGGCTCGTTTGAAATTTCAGTCTAGGATTCGGTCCCCTGAACCCTAACACAATGAAAAACCACAGAACGCCTCATTGCTCTCCTTTTCCTACACTTACAATCCTCCTCCTTCAGAGCAGCGACGAGTGAGCCTGCAAGTGGGAGGGCGTGACCTGGATAGCTGGCAGAGTAGGAACTAACTGTCTCAGATCATCAGCGCTTCCAAGTTTCCCATTTGCCTTTGATGGTCTCTCTCTCCTGGCCAGTCAGAAGCCAGGGGTCAAGGGTCAAAGGTGTGGCTGAAATGGAAATTGAGCTCAGAGTAAGACTTTAGTGTGAGCAAACACACAGCTTCGGGTGTTTATTCTTAAGAATAATAAAGACTGGGGAAGACAGTTTGGAAAGATGATTGTGAGGGTTTCATGTAAGTGTTCACAATCCTGAAAGGACATGACAGCCAGACCAAA